CTGCCCGATAGACCTTCAGCTTGGTGGTTAGTCTGAGCCCTCTCCGCTCCCACACACTGCGACGGAGGCTTCCGAAAGCAGAGCTCGCACGTGCGATCCGGTGGTCAACCTCTATATAGATGTTAGCGTCCTTCGAGAGCGTGCTTCCAAGATAGCGAAAACTCTCAACCGTCTCCAGGTTCACACCGTCAATGGATAATTCTGGATCAATTAGAGATCGACAAGGAGCGGGCTGAAGCACAACCTTTGTTGGTAACAATGTTCAAATACACTTTGGGTGTTAGTCACCCTTCTACATAGCCTTTTTCACACCGTTAGACCAGCTCCAGTAGATTGAGATGTCAAACCAACCCAAAAAGATCAAGATCTCTCCATAGGTTTCTCTACAATCAATACAGAAGAAGAGTGGAACACAACCTATCAGATCAAATCACCCGCTTTTGATTCGTCCATTGCCTACCTTCATGTTTTCCTTGGAACAAACAACCATAGATAAAGTCATGTTTTCCTTTGGACAAACAACCATATGGTAGGTTTAGTTATTTTCTTCGCATGGTATAGTTAAATCGTGACTGTAGTTGAAGAAAGTGTCCAAAGGGGACACAGTCCGATATCTGTTGCACGTACAACGCCCAATCTTTCTTTTTTTCACTCAGTCAGATGCGAACGGGTAAAGTCCACGGTGTTTTTATATTTTAAGGCGAATTCCCCGTCGATTGAAATGGTTAACAGACTCTTAAGAAGTGGTATTTGTTATTGACGCTCCTATTGGCACTTACAATCATGACCATTTATTGATCGCTTCTCTTACCCTTTGTTTTACAGATCATTCATGATATGATGACAGCTATGTATTTATAGGGCTCAAGTAGTCACTTAGTACATGATATATTAGTCTATTTTTAAACACAAATAAACAGTGTTTTACAACTATGGGTGTGGGTGTGAGAGGGGGGACGACTGCGTATTATTAATAAATTATTATTTACAGCAAAGAAACAGATGCATTATAAAATTAGATTGATGGACAAGTAACTCTGACTATTCATATTCAGTTAAAAAGGATTTGTTTTCTTTTAGAATAGAGCAAATAGAAAAATGTCATCTTAAAAAATGGAAATTGCTCTTTCAATCAAAGATTCTTGTCACTATTGAACTTGATATCATATCTAAATACTGTTATACCAAGCTTCCACAACTAAAGAACAGCCAGACACTGAGAAGTATGGTAACCACACGGAATTTAATTGATCTTTATATTTTTCAAATATTAAGCTTCAAAGAAAGGCTAACATTACTTTTTATATATTTTATAAACATTTCAAGGTCTTATTAAACAAACAGTTATGTACATATTTTACGATATATTGCACAATAAAGCTACTTACACGTTTTAACAGCAAAATAAAAAACCTCGAATATGTTATATAACACTAGTAAAGAGAGGAAATTTTAATTTCAAAAGTCTCAATTTTAAGCATTCCTTTTAAACATTTCACTTCTGAATCATTAATAATCCGGGTCATAGAAGAACATTTTCTACTCGGAATTAAAAATTATTGTTATCTTAGTGATTTTGTAAAGCAGTAAACAATTTTTATTAGAAAAATCATATCAAAGTTCCATAATTATCAGGGATTCTAAAGACACGTATCCTCACGTAACAACGTAATAATAATAATAATAATAGAGAAATGTGTATTTCGTTCTCCTCTATTAAATAAACTAATGACATAGCTAAAGGCTGCTATGTTTAATCGACTTTTATTTTAAGAACACTATACAAGCTTTATTATGTTATCACAAAAGGATTTCTGGATCTAGGGAACGTTTAATCAATATCTAACAAACGGAATGTATAACAACCTATTAGTTATTTTTTCTTATAGAAATGGTTAAGAATGAGAATCGTAATGTAATATTTGCTGTAAGGGTACAACCATTTGATTCAAGCAATCTATAGATATAGAACGCAGAAGTGAGAACAGATCTTTACTAATCGTTGATGCAACAAATACTGAAATACTAAAATTATATATATGGTGTATTTATATGAAATTAAAATGTTCTAGTTTTCTTCTTTGGAAAATACAATAATTTTGCTTCCTTGTCACTTCCTGTTTAACTCTGAAAGTAACATATAATTCTGACAAAACCTCCAACATTAGAGCAAAGGAAGTTGATAAAATATTATTTACGTTACCAAATATTGTTGATAGAGAATCTGTACGTTCTTTTCTAAATGAACCATTCTTTGTCTTTTTTACTAATTAAACGGTGTTGAAATTAGTGTTAATCAAATACAAAAGACAGATGAAATAACATTATCTCTGAATGTGTTCATAATTAAACAGATAAAAAATAAAAAACAGATTTCAAAAATATATTACAAACATTGAAGAAAAAACATCAAAATTTGATGTATATTATCAAAACTTCAAAACTCAAAATCTGGAAATGAAAACATTAATAATAGAGTCTGAATTAAATCATAAACTCAATTCTTACAAACAAAAATACACTAATTACATACTTCTTATCACATTTGTAACAAAGTTACCTGTAGCAAAAAAAGGAACATATATTAACATAACTAAATCCTCATTGTGATATCGAATTTTATAATTTCTCACTAACAGCAGAATACTACTTTTTAATACCATCAATGCATATAGTATATTTTATAAACGTATTTAATATTATCAGATGGCACCATAGCTTGAGATTACGACCAAAATCTGATGTATAATTTCATTTAAAACGGATAATTTAGAGATTTTGTTCACGTGTTTTTTTCATCAAAAAGAAAAACAAAGACTTTTAAACTATAGTGAAGACTAGCGTAGTTTTCAAAAATCTGTAAAAAAAGCAAGATCCTTTTCTGCTATTTTTATGGAAACAGTTTTCCATTTCTTCTCTGGAAAGCGGTCAAAGTATCTTGTATCAGAGTTGTGGTTAACACGAGGAACTATAGGTGGCTGAGAAAGGATATAATATATATATTCATCAAGACTATATAAAAACAAGCCAAAATATTCGAACACACACATAATCATACATACCGTTTAAATATCTAAAATAGGATAAAACTAACCGATAGAATGTTATACCATTTGGAGATTTTCAATGAGCAGTAATTAACATAAATAAAATGAGCTTAAAACATATATAACATACACAGAAAACTGGAGAAAATCAGGACACTTAGTATGTAGAAATAAGTAACTCAGAATAAAGGCCTAATTGCGTCAAATATGGCATTAACATGTCGATTGATTCTAATTCTGAATTGTGTTTGTTTTCAGTCATGACTACAAGGAAAACTTATTATGCATTAAAAGGACGGATTTTAAAAAGGAATATTACCAGGAATTATCAATAAATGATGACATTTTTAAAACGTACAGCGGCCTAAACTATCTTCGAAATTACTACAAAGTTAGTGTTGTTTTGTATGTATATTTGTTATGAATTTCGCGTAATGCTACACGAGGGCTATCTGCGCTAGCCGTCCCTAATTTAGCAGTGAAAGACTAGAGGAAAAGCAGCTAGTCATCACCACCCACCGCCAACTCTTGGGCTACTCTTTTACCAACGAATAGTGGGATTAACCGTCACATTATAACGCTCCCATGGCTGAAAGGGCGAGTATATTTGATGCGACAGGGATTCAAACCCGCGACCCGCAGGTTGCGAGGCAAGCGCCCTTAACCACCTGGCTATGCCAGGCCTGTTGTTTTGTTATTTGTATATTTTTGTATGTATTTACAGATTGTTTGTGTATATATGTACGTATTTATCTATGTTTGTGTTTGTGTGTATATACTAGGGGGTAGTTGAATGCTTTTACTAAGCGCACAAGTTTTCAACAACACTTACTATTGCACTCGTAGTGGTGTATAGCTTTTTCTTTTTGATATTTTGTTAGGTAATAGCCATTAATCTATAGTTTAACTTAACGGAGATGTTCTTTTTTCTTATAAAAAATGTCTGAATGAGCTAGGTTTGATTAAACTTATATTTCTATGTTTCAGTGCAACTGATATTGTGATAGTGCAATAACACTATCCTTTCTATATACGGAATAATAAGCAATATATTAATTGAATAGTACCTCATTCTAAGCTTTAAAAAATGTTTTGGTGAATTTTACGCAAGAGCTACTATGTATTAGTGCTTAGATTTTATATGACTGTAATATACAAACAAAAACAAATAACATTTACGATTTTGACAACATAACTACAACACCTTCGTAAAATAAAAACTTGCAGCCTTCTTCCACGTGGCTCGAATTCTTTGCGTGACATTGATAAAGACGTACTGGAAACAATAAATTAAATACTTTATACTCAGGTTACACGCTTGCGCAAGGTTTGACACATCGGAGTTTTAATACTTCACATTCTTTCCTGACCTGTGTCAACTACTCACATTGATACAGTACTGACCGAAATATTATACGCTGATATTATATATATTTCAAAAAAAGATCGTAAGTTAACATCATTATCTGTCACCTTTACAAAACACTACACTACGTATAGACAGAGAAATGTGTTGTTTTCAATCACTGATATAACTTTATCGAAAATTTAGCAAAATCATAACAATTCTTATTAACACCTAAAACTCATTGAATAATTCCAGTTCTTCCTCACTAAGAGGTGGAGACTTCTGGTGGTTATCTGGCTCTGGATAGTCGTCAAAATTACCCGTGTCTCCGTCAGACTTCACTTTAGGAGCAATAGGAGGCTAAACGAAGCGTTAGCATATCGAAGGAAGGAAAGAAATAGAATTGTTAGAAAGCCCAACACCACAACCAAAGTATTATAAAAATTATATAAAATGGAATACAAAGGCACACAGAGACAGATATTTTGTTAATTTTCAACTAAGGTTATATAGTTAAAAGATTTGTTTGGCAAATATAAAAGCTTCAGCTGATTTATTATTCATCAAAACCAATTCAAGAATATTTAGGTAAAATAATGATTTTTATGTTCTTTATTCAACGTTTTTCATAAGAATTATCGTTGAGAAAAAACGTAAAATCTTAAAATAACTCAATTCTGGAGTTTTAAAAATTGGCAAGTTTATGATGACATTTCAGTTGTATGTTATTCTCACAGAGTTTTCTTCACTCACTATCACCACAAAAGTATCCTTACACTCAATTTCATTCCTGAGAAGATTAAGATTGCTATACTATGCCAAGAGTTTTCATAATAAAACATCGTAAGTGGTTTATCTGAAAACAACCTACCAGGTAATAAAAGCTTGAATACACATTTTGGAACAAAATTAGTTGTATTAATTAAGGCAAACTTAAAGATGCTAAACGATGAATAAAATGAAAATCTAATAGTTAATTTCCATTCAGTATACATGCATGTGAATGTAAGGAGTGTCAGATAAAGCATGATGCTTATAGTTTTAGTGTCTTATTGCCACTTATTATTCAGAAGTCTATTTATTGATATTTTAAGGGTTTTTAAGTGAATAGACTATTCTTAGTTAACAAAGTAGCGTTTTAAATATAACTTACTGAAATTAGTGATTCGTAATTGACTTAATGATGTCAACACGAGATTTTTCATTCTATTAGGTTTTCACTACACACTATCAGTTCGTTAAATTAACAGTCTGAAAGCGTGCAGAAGTATTTAATAATTGTAAGTTAATTATTGAAACCTTTTAACTCTTTATCTGGATAAGTGTTTGTACACATAAGAAACTTTTAAATACTTTCCTCCGATACATAACTAAATCTGCGAATCATTACGTGAACATTTGGTAATGTTTATGACCTACTGCTTTTCTAAAGCGTTAATGAACCGTATCCTTGGAAGGCTTTATACACTTCCGTTAGATAATGATTTAAAAACTTTATGAGTCATCTCTAAAAAAATGTGTAACTGTTTTAAGGATAGTTTATTTTACACTTTTACATATTCATCGTACTGGTAAATAACATAAATATAAATAATGGAAGAGAAATTGTAACTGTTTTGCTTTTTTTTCAAATAATTATACGCATACGATTTCAACACTTTTAAAATTAATTATTAAATGAGATACTCTATTTAGGGAAACTATAAACTTTATTAGGTTTTCGAAAAAAAAGCTAATTTTACAGATGATGATTCATTCTAGCATTCTACGCCCTCTATCAGGAGAAACATTTTCATTTTGTGAGAAATTCTAGGAACCAACAAATGGGAGTACCGACCACTTTATGTGGAGTTTTCGTGATATGTTTACTTTATGAAAAATTCACTTAAGAACTTTAGAATATTGTTATTATACAATCATAAAAGGACATATTTATTCTAATAATACTAATTTTTTTTTTAAATTCTGGAAGAACAGAAATGTTTATGTAGAATTTTAAACAAAAGCCTCTATAATCCTCTGCTTACAGCCAAAACCCGTGGTTTCAATATGTTGCAGTGAGACTTAGACTTACAGACTTTAACATTCGCCAATTATGCTAAAGCTTCTGAGCATAAGTATTCTAGAATGATAAGAAAGTTCTTGAAACAAATTAATTCATAACCAGAGAAACAGGCATTAAGGAATTAGTGACTACTAAACCGATTATCATAGTCGGGAATATTTTCGATGAGGGAGGGGAGGGCTTGATTTTTGAGCAAGAAAATAAATTAGAAAAGCGTAAGCTTTGGGATTTCGGAGTGAAGATAAAATCCACCACCAGGTTACCTCTATGCTGCAGTAATGGGCCTCTCTCTTTCGGTTGTAACAAAGACGAAGAGCACGTGAATATAAAAGCAGCTTTGCACACAGATTAATATGCACTACTTCGGAAGTTTGGAAAACAAAACTGATAACAGCTATAAAGAATTTAAGTAAATCCGCCATTAGTTTTCTCTTAAAAGCCAACTACTGGCTACTATCATGGAATTCAACATATTATGCTCACAAGAATTGTTGGAACAATGTAAAATCTTTGCTTTGTTTTTGTCTTGACAGAGGGCAGTGTTACACAGGAAGAGTTTAGTTTGGTTTATTTGGAATTTCGCGTAAAGCTACACGAGGGCTATCTGCGCCAGCAGTCCCTAATTTAGCAGTCAAAAACTAGAAGGTAGGCAGCTAGTCAACACCACCCACCGCCAACTCTTGGGCAATTCTTTTACCAACGAATGGTGGAATTGACCGTCGCTGTATAACGCTATCATGGTTGAAAAAGCGAGCATGTTTGTTGGGACGGTGATTCGAACGCTCAACCCGCAGATTGCGAATCGAGCGCTCTAACCATAAGAAGAGAAAAGAAATAAGTCTTACAAATAAAACTTTAAAGAATAGCTGACATTTTGTTCTATGATTATCAACCATTTCTAACTCGGTAATTTATAATGAAACGGTTTTTTTATTTTAATCTATTATGTTTTAATGATTGCTGTTTTAATTATTTTCAATAATTATTTTACGGCAAGAATTACAGATAACATTGCAAAAATTTCTCATCTTAACTCTATTAGTGTAAAAATTGTGTATTATATGCCATTTGTTTATCTATATATATACTTCCTAATTATTTACATTCGTTGAACATTATAAAGTTTGAAATATTGATGCATAATCATTCACTCACTTGTAATAAATTAAATGTTTTCAATTTTCTTTATCATAACAATATCGTTACTGATTTTATCGTGCACTTTTCATAGGGTATGTTAACCTGCTGCTATTTTTATAAAAGCTTTTGTAACTTGGGCTAAATAATAAACTCGACGAAATATACTTAAACACTTGCAGATTCGAATAAACCTCATTTAAAAATGAAAAGTCTGATAACTTGCATTTTACTAATTATTTTCATTATACATAGGTAATTAGTGTTTTTACTTAACCTCAATTATTTCCCCGACTGTGGATAATGCAACTCATTTCAACACTCCGTTCCTTGTTAAGCAAGTTTCGATATGTTTTCTAATTTGTAATCAAGCAACAAAGTCTGATTGTCTGTCATACATAGATAATCCGAAAGCTTGTATCGTTAACACTCTAACGTGAATGGTTGATCGACTATGTTAACTTTGTATCCCACAATGCTGGCTTAAATCAAAAACTAAATTTTATCTAACATTTCAATTTCTGTGTATTTTGGACGACTATTTATAACCCGTCAAAAAAAATATGCGTTAAGTACATTATTCAACCGATATCCATATAATGAAAAAAAAAGATAAAACTATGTTTATGTAAGAGAGAAAGAAAGAGATATCTCTATGCTTAATTACCGCTGCGTTGAAAATATTAGAAATCGATATTAAATTTCACTAACTATAAATATAATAAACTGATAAAAATATGAGGGTACTTGAAAACGTGTTTATAGCTTACTTTGACTCTTTTGTTCAGGACATCGTCCCAATTAGTGCCTTTGAACCATCTATGTTTTTTGACATCATCTGCTCCGTTCTGAAATATAATGAAAAAAAAGCCAGATTCTCTATCACTATTTTAATACTCACTTGTTTTATTATAATCTCAATATTCAGTTTTAATATTAGAGATTTTTTCTGTATTTTTGTTATTCATTTAATTACGAGTTTCGAAACAGAGGTGTGTAAAATTGGCGTTTCATATCTCTCTTTTCTCTGGTACACGTCATTGACTGGGAGTTCTCTCCTTCAATACCAGGAATGTGGAAAAATACGTCTACATTCTAGCGTGGCTTTTATCACGAATAAAAAGCCAATTGGTGCAATTACTTAGCCAGCTTTCGGCTTTAACACGAAATGTAAATAAGTAGTATTTCAAAGAGACTTTTGGCTACCTATATATAGCGTAGATGACGAGTTCTGCTATTGAAGGAAAGGTATTTAGTTACGGTAAACATAATATAGATATGAAATTTTATTTTCAAACATCTCTGGTTTAAAATCAGTAACATACATGTTAATTGTAATATGGAAAAACAAAACAAAAAACATCCGGAGTCTAGGACGAACTTTAGTACGAATATTAAACCTATTAATTCAATTGTTTCACCAGCTTTTGGCGTTTAACACAGTTTACAGCATTTTATTCCGATGTAACATTTGTTGGTTACAGAAATATCTGAACTTTTTATTAGCACCTGTAGTTTCAAAGGGCAAATAAAACTTCAAAAATGTGATTATATAATGACCAGCAAATGTCTTACATGTGTCTACAGTATATAAAATGACGTAATTAAATCAATGGAACGTTTTCGTATTCTGTGCTACACGTATTGAAATATACTCATATTTCATCAAGGTGGAGTTGCTTCAGTGAAATAATGGTCGGTTTTCTGAACCTGGTAACGATTAGTCAGTCCTGACTAACTAATCGTTACCAGGTTCAGAAAATCAACCACTAATTCCTTGAAGTAATTTCACCTTGATCTTCTTTGTTAACATACCGAAATAAATTGACTGGCTACTCGTTACCAGAAAAATAACGATTATTTCACTGTAATTGGAAGATATGGATCATATTTATGTATGACTAAGTCTAAAAATATCGTTTCCAAATGGTTAGCCGTGATAGCTTAAATAACTGGAGAAAGATAAGGGTTTAATTATCAGAAATGGAAAGAAAATATATGTATATACACACAGAGACACAAATATATATATAGCTAAAAACAGTATTATCAGTTTTATCACGAACGACTACAAATAACCTCTTGTAGTTATTATTTACAATGACTTATTATCTCTCTGCATTGTCTGCATCAGTTAACTTTTCAATAATGCCATAGTTATGGGCTATCCCTTAGATATTTTAGTGTTTGAAATATGCCATACAATGGTTTAAGCAACCTTAGACAACGAAATAGGTACAATAATATAACTTAAAATGATTAGTTGTTTAGAAATTCCTAAGTGTGATGTTATTTCGGACTATACGCTGAGGCCTGCTTCTGGTCATGTGTAACTCTAAGATGGTTGACTACTTTAAACAATAATTAAAATATTTAATAATGACGTAGTGCTACATGAAGAGAACTCTATTCGGTAAAATTGCCGGTAATAACTTTCCAAAATTACTGTATTCTACTTCTTTTTGTTCAATTCGTTTTATTAGATCATTCTTTTATCTGTCTTTTGAAATTTGACGATTTTTATTTCAAAACACGAACAGTTCTACCTGCTTCACTGACGTCATTTATCCAATTACACTAATTTATATTTTAAATTAATTTTATATAAAATTTTAAAGTTTAAATAAATATCAACTATTGTACTTAGAAGTTGATTTCCGTTGACTTATTTGACTAATTTTTTTTACAATAATTAACATTAGAATAGAGCACAAAAATGTGATAAAACTTTAAAAAGTAAGACCCCTCTCCTCGTCTATCATGACAAAAGGTGCATAAGTTGCTATGAATTGATATTCTGAAGTAAAGGCTTGCCAACGTTAAACCACATGGTTAAGTTCTAGAGCTGCTCTCAAGTGGGTGTTTAGAGCAAGGTACCTAAACCAGCATATATATTCTATATCATGTAAATGTTTACACTATAATCTAAAGCTGTTATTTTTTGTATCATATCTTTTAAGTTGATTCTTATGTCATGTAATTATTTTATGCTATCACCTAGAGCTGCTCTGATATGATGTGATGATTTCATTCTATCATCTAAAGCTGTTTATGACATAATATGCTAATTGTTTTTGATACTATGCGTTACTTTTATGCTATCATCTAGAACTTTCTAGTTTTTATATGTGATACTTTTATGCTATCATCTAGATATAATTTTGATATCATGTGCTAATTTTATGCTATCATCAAAAACTGTTTTTGATATCATGTGATAATTTTATGTTATTGTCTATAACTGTATTTTATATTATATGATGGTTTTACGCTATCGTCTAGAGCTATTTCTGATATCATTTGAGAATTTATGCTACCGTCTAGAGCTGTTTGTGATATCATGCGATAGTTTCCTAAAACATCTAGTTTCATAGCTCGTCAGATTTTTTAAACTACGACTAATTTAGTGCCGTAAGTTTCTTATGCCATGTTATCATCTGTTTATTTTAATAATATCGAGCTTTTTGTTCTATCATATATTACTATATGACTTATATTCGTCAATCTGATTAGTTTTTGTTTTTTACCTGTTGTCTTCTGAAAAAAAAACGTAATGTTAGTAGTTTCTTTCATTTACTTTTCGTCCGCAGAAGAGTTGATAGAAAATATATGAGTCAATATGGTTTCCATAGATTCTAACATCGTGTTATGATTAATATTTAAACCAGGAAAGATATATCTCAAAAACATTTGTTAACGTACTACTGCCATCGTAGGTTGAGACGTACCGGACTACATGATGAAGTGGACAAACAGGTAGTAAACGATAAATCACGACAGTTAAACATGGCAGTTTGTAGAAATTTCTCCATTGATGAAATATGTTGTAAAGAGAACAAGAGGCAGGGACTTAAAATGACTGTGACAGAAATGAAAGTGAACTCTCTTAAAACAGCTGTTCATAAACAAATACCCGAAGTAATAAGCTTCATTTTTACGACAGCAAGAGGCAATTTTTTATTTATTATTTAACAAAACCTCTCTCCGCTCCTCAGAAGTTACTAAAAGAACATTTGGTGCTTTATAACAAAAGAATAACAAAAAATAAAGTATAAAGTGTCCTTTTTAAAATGCAAGTTGCGTCAGTGTTAAGATATAAATTAAGGATCGATCGATGTCTCTGGATGAACTAATTTAATATTGTAACCAAAGCACATAACATAGATTTATGGCTGAAAACGTCCATTTTGTATATATCATGAACCACTAGTAATAGTTCATAATAGGAATGCCAAGGAATTGCACAAAACCCTAATAGAACGTTTGGGCAAAAAGCACCTTAAACTATAAAGATTTAATTCAAACAACAGTTGAAAACCTTTACTATTATTGACTGCTAAGGCTGTATACATATAAAAGGCACAAAGAAGCACGCATCTTAGACTTACAAGGAATAGAAAATCCGCTCAAGACGGCCCGTTTTTAATTCTTCTTCTTTATATTATTATTCTCTTGCCAGCCTATAACAAAAACAGCTTGGTATTTTCTACCCAAACCTTTTGTAGAATACTAAATAAGGTACTGCGAAGGTTGTAGGGGTATTGAAAAGTCGATTTATTTCTTCTATATTTTACATAAGCTAAAAAACATAATTCAGATGTAAACGATGTTATCATTAACCCCTGAAGTTATCTTTCTTATAAATATCTGATGTTCCTTTAAAAAGTTTGAATACAGGGTGAAACAGAAATTACCAGCCAACAGTAGATGAATATTAGATGGCTGTAACATGTAAATACTCATTGCTTTGTACACTGTACAGTCAGTGTCTTTAGGGAGCCAACACTTATTTAAAGTATGAAGTGAAGGAGTAAACAAAAAAATCAATACACAAAATATTAAATTTTATTACACACATCTGTAAATGTTTTAGACATACATGTTTTATTTGAAAAGGCTGCTTTTCTAGTGGTAAAATTTTATCGCTTAGTGGGAGATATATCTTAGGTTAAGCATATATTTGCCCATTGTTATGTATTGTATATAGAGAATTTAGTTACACATAAATTGTGAATGCTCACTATATTCTCAAAAACAAATCTCCATGACAATCTCCAGCTGCAGCTTTACATTTTACATCTCGAACATGCTGATACCTAAAATTACATTTAGTGAAGTCAAAATAGGAACTTGTAGTTTGAGTAAATAATGTCTACAGTATATTCAGCCTCGTTTTCTTACTTTTTTTACGATCCTCATTTGGAAGGTTTTTAAATGCCCAATTTGTTTTATTTATCTTGTAAGCTTACATGTTCAGAAATATTAGTGTGAATCGTTAGTTACGAATTTAACTTCCGGTATACTCTTTCATATTTCAGTGTTATATTTGTAGATTTGAGTTTCATTTTAAGGAAAACAAATTTGAAAACAGATGTCAACCAAGGTGTCTGACGGAAATTTAAACTTAAAATTTTTTTCGACAATGATATAATTAAAAATATAATTATGAAACTGTGTAATGAAAAATTCATAGTTGTTATTATATGTTATCAACCTAACACAAAATATGTGAGAAATCTTTTCTTCCGACTTACCTTCATATTACCTAAGCGTTTAGTGCGATCTTGCACCAGTACCTTCTTTATTAGATCTCTAAAACACAAAGAAGTTCAAGAAAACATAAGAAACATGCAAGTTTTTATAAAATCGCTAAACTAGATAAAGAAATATGTAAGTTTTGATGCTTAGGCTGCAAGAAAGAAATACATCTTTCTTAGTTGTTATTTAGGATATAAAAGTTATGCACTTATTTTTTCCTATTACATTCAGAAGACACAAGAAAGACAAGCGTCTTCTTTGTTATATATTTCGAACATCAGGAGGAAATGAACTCCTTTCTACTTATATTTCTAATTAAAGCTGGGAATAACCAAACATGTTTTTTTTTAATCCTTAAAACACGAAAATGAATAAAATCTTCATTGTTGAGACTTTATAACAGAATGAAGGGCCAACCATCTATTTATCGGAATCTTATAATAAAAGTAAAATCAATAACAAATAACTCTAATACTTCCTTAAATTATACAGAAGAACCAGCAAATCTTCTATGGTAGGAAGTTTGTTTTTTGGTATTAATCACAAAAAATGGGCTATCTGTGCTCTACCTATCGCGAGTATCAAAACCCGATTTTTAGCGTTACAATCCCTAGGGCTTATCGCTGAGCCACCAAGGAGCACATAGAGAAACCTAGTATATTCTCTATGGGCTTTCTATAATGAAAATAAACTAACTTTTACATCGGTTTCTGAAAACATTGAGAAAATGATTAGGAAAATACCAAATCTCTTCTTTATTACAATACTAAATCACAGAAACAAAACAAATACAACTTTTGGGTGAATTCTATAATATAAGAAGGAATCAAGTACAATATTCGACATGGGAAAGTTGGGAAAACAACTTCTATATTGGACTTCTAGAAATGTTAAAAAGCAATAATTTTATTTCCTAGGATACATAAAAGATCAAAACATATAATTCATATGATTTCTGTATTATTAAAGTAACGAACAAGTATGCTTTTTGAAGATTCCTTCCAAGGGGGAAAATGCCACATTTTTATTTGATTAACATAACAATAGAAAGACATAAGCAACCATTTCATTAGAAAAATATATACTTGTAATGATGAAATCAGTGCAATTAGCTGTCATAGGATAAAATGGCTTTAAGAACATGTCATAATAGCAATAGTTAGCCACTACAAAATATATGTAAATAGTGCATCACTGTTATTTCAATAACTCAGGCAGCATTTAAAAAACAAAACTATAACATAATTGTAGGGATTTGCGTTACGCAGATATAATGAATAATGAACAACAAATAGAATTTTCAACACTGATGAGAAGAAGGAAATTTGGATTATCTCGTTCATAAATAAATCTAATTTTCATTTTTATTGCATTTAATCTCACTTGTATTAGTCTGGTTCTGACTTGAATAACTTCTTACTTTGCTATTGGGTCAATGTGCCGTGGCCAGTCTATTTTACCTGCAAGAATCTTCTCGTATATGGCAAAAGGGTTGTCATCAAAAAATGGAGGATATCTGTAACAGTAAGAGCGACTGGAATTACGCTTCTGGAGAGTTTTGTTTCATTTTGTTGATCTGAAACCTTTCGAGAATCTCGGAGAATAACTACAGATGTTGTTTCAAGCAGATATAGCAGGTCTGAGAACTTTAATGGACTGGAACTGCTTGTTGAAAGAAAGGGAGACGACGTTTATGCTTCTACATTGAGGCCTTCTTCAGTACAGAAACCAAAACGTCGTCTTCTCCGCTTTTAAAAAAGGTAGTTGCAGTCCATTAAAATTCTTAAACCTAATAACTATAGACATCCTAATCATAATAATTATGTTTAATTAAATAATAATCGGTGTGGTTTATATATAATTTTTTGATGGAAAGTTTCTAGTTCGATTTACTTATTCTCAACTAACAACTTTAACCACTCTCTTAAGTCTTGTTTGATATTTTATTTAATGTTAATTTATCTAAATTTTCGAATCACGGCAAAGGAAAAACGTTTTTTACACTTACCGAGTTAGGTTTAAAACTCTGATATAATCCTATTACTACAAACCCAAATAAAGTATCAACAAGATATAACATGAATATCTCTGACAATACAACAATACATGAACATCTAGGCAATGATTTACCCAGCTAACATTTCGTAGATTAGTATTCCAAAAGCCCACCAATCGACAGCCTTGTTGTGTCCTTTACTCTGGATGATTTCTGGAGCCAAGTATTCAGGTGTTCCACATAATGTCCATGTCCTAAAATAATAAAATACACAATAGTCAAAGATATAATGTCACATCATTTTGGATTTCTGTTACTATGGTTTTTAATCACAAATGCGATTAACCAATTTACTTATCTCTCTCTCTCTCCAAAGGATCTCAAAACACTTGCAAAAGAACTCCAAAGAACAATGTATTTTTCAGAAATGCGATGTGTAATAAGTTGACTTAATAATACTAAAAAAGCATGGGAATGTTTATTTGTTTAATATATATTACGAAGTGTAACAATTCATCTGTAACATAAAGTCAATAAATGAACTGTTTAATTCCTTCGCTTATTAAAAGTTTTCGGGAACATGCTCGTAAAAGTCACAAGTTTTGGGATTTCAAAGTTTTCGGAGTCATTTTTCGAAATGCCCAACTATTTCTCGGAATTATAGATATAGTACTACATATGTTGAAATGGTTAAACTAAATTTGGAGCAATAAAAATCATGGCATATGATATATAAATGCAAATGTCGCGTACAATTTGACTAAAACAGGGAGGAATTGACTTTTTAAAACATAACACCTCATTTTTCGCTGAAGGATTGTGGTTATGACTTTTACAAGTACATATCTTAACCTCCTTTTCTGAGGGGTAAGACTTGAAGGAATTAAACAAGTAAATTGGTACAGGAAGTTAATAAAGAACCACATTGGAAATGAAATGTTTTATTATTAACGAATATGATATAATAAGTCTAGGGTAGTTGTTATTTTCAACCTGATCATGAGCTAAGCTGTCAGAGTAGAGCCTTAAGGTTCAGATTTAACCATTCCTAATTTAGGATTGCTTATCAGATGGAGAAAAACTGATCAATAGCACCTGCCGCCTATATTGCTGCTCTTAATTGAATAGAAAGATTGACTGTAACCTTATTTACACTTCCACAGATACATATCACGAGCGCAAATTAAATAAAAAACAGTCAACTTCAGAAAAAATATTTTTGTCTTTCATTTTAGGGTTGTGAACCCGAGGGCTCATGGTTTGCAGCCCGTTGTCACAAAAAATGTGCTCCACACTTTGGGCCGTGGGTCAACTCGTACTATTTTTTTAGACGAGAGTAGTCGCCCAAGAGTTGGCGGTGGGTATTGTTTATTAGTCGTTTTCTTCTAGTCTGTAAGTTCAAAATTAGGAATGGTTATGGGCGGATAACCCTTTTTTTGTACCATTGCGCGATAATTCTGAAACATACTAATTAAAACATTTTCTAAATCTACCAAAAATAATACTCAGATTTCAGCAATAAGAAGTAAAAAACAGCCTTTAAACGCGCTGTATTTCAAACCTTGCATTTTTTTACCTGTCTGTTAGGTTTTTGGCAAAGCCAAAGTCCGTGATTTTGAGGTGACCTTCTCTATCCAGCAGGAGGTTTTCTGGTTTCAAATCTCTGTATACAACTTGTTGTTTGTGTAGATATTCAAGAGCCAGCACTATTTCTGCAGCATAAAAGACTCCCGTTGTGCTACTAAATCTTCCAGCGTTTCGTAGATACGTGAATAACTCTCCCCCACACACGTATTCAAACAACATGTAGAGAGAGGTATCGTCGTGAGTTGTCCAAAGCCTTCAGTTCAAAATACATATAAAAAACACAGTGAAAACAATTTAAAACCATTAATCAAGCAACAAGATATTTTTCCTTTACGATTATGGCATACGATTTTTTACTTCGTACAGCAAAAACCTATATTATTTACTCTCCAACATGAATAAATGTTTTATTTCACATTCTACATCACCACTGAACGGAGAAACCCGAATCTGTACTCTAACTAGAAATTTGCATATTCTCAAACACTTTTTCGACTTGAAAGAGTACGAAGGCTAGTGTAAATAAATAAAATTTCAGCCAAGCTGTTTTCCATACTTAAGCTAATGAGACGTTATATAGCTTAACACTGCAATTGGTATTGAATTTGTTATCCAGTATCAGAAAATATGTTACATATCTGCAAAATATTTACTAAAGTAAAATTAACAGTTATAGGTTTGATTGCAGGTTTTATTTATACCTTTTTACTCTTTGAACTTAAGTAGAAGGTGTGAATATAGATGAAATCCGTAAGAAAAAAAACTATAACCAATAAACTGTTATATATTTAGATTTTTACACTTCTTTTTCTTCAATAACCAATAACACAGGCCAGCAAATTGAAACTTCCTAAAAATTGTTTTGGTTTTAATAACGGATATTCCATAATTCAGCTACGCATATTTCGAAAATAATATTC